GAACAAGGAGAAGATGCTTCTGCAGCGCATCAAGAACCGAGCATGGAGCGAGGTGAGGAAGGAGCGAAAGACGAGGAAAAGGAATGAACGGCGAGAGATGAGGATGGAGAAATTATGCAGAGGAATGAGAGCTCCGAGAGGACTGTAGAGGGGCATAGATAGCAAAAGCAGGAGCAGGAGCAGGAAGCAGGAAGCAGGTGCAGGAAGCAGGAAGCAGGAAGCAGGAGGCGCAGCACCACCATCACCACCACCAGCACCAGCACCATCATCAACGTTGGCAGAGGGTGACAGTGGGTGACAGAAAACGACGGCGAAGGTGCTCAAGAAGGAGAGGAAGATGAAGAAGAGCAAGTCAGCTGGGGAGGCACCGGAGGAGCTCGACGACTTCACGCGGGAGGCTCGTCTGCTGAGGAAGCTGAGAAAGGGCATCATATCCAAGGAGGAGTTTGACAAGCAGGTTGGAGGGGCCTCCGACTCCGACTAGTGCCCAGCTGGGAGGGCCCGCGGATTTTTTTATCCCCCTTTCTCAGCTGGAGGTGCTTTGAAGGTGCGCGAAATCTTTCACAAGCGCGGGTAGGAGGGGGCGGCTGCTCTGCTGCAGCTGGGGTTAGACGAGCGGAATTATGTAGTTTAGTTATCATCGGACCTTGTAAATTCAAAATTTTGACAACCTGAGGCACCCAAGAGCTCTCGAGCTGAGCGCCAGCAGGAGAAGAGAAGCTGAGAACGAGCTAGAAGAGACGTGGCGAGACTATCGCGATCTCTTTATGTGCTGCACGGGTAGTGAGGGCGAGACACGAGAAGGTGAGGAGGAAGGTGTGGGGAGGGAGAAACAGTGGAAGACGAAGGAGTAGGTGATCAGGAGGGCGGCAGCAGCAGGATTGGAAGGATCAGGAGGAGGAGGAGGAGGAGGAGGAGGAGGAGGAAGGGAGGGAGGAGGGAGGGAGGGAGGGAGGAGGAGGAGGAGGAGGAGGAAGGGGTGCAAACCTCTCTGCGGAGCTCCTCTAACTCTGAGATTATCTGCCCTGAAGGTATCACGCAAACAAGATCAACTGAGAGCACAGGCACGCCTCCTCCTCTACCTGCTCCTTCCTCGCCTGAAGACGTCGGTGCGCAGGGGCGTAGTCCTCCTCTTCCTGTAGCCCCACGATCTCACTAGAAGTTGACCGTGGCAGCAGCACAGGTAGCAAGGAGGAGCAGGAGCAGGAGCAAGGGCAGGGGCAGGAGCAGGGGCAGGGGCAGGGGCAGGGGCAGGGGCAGGGGCAGGGGCAGGGGCAGGAGAAGGAGTGCGGAATGGAGCAAACTCACCTCATCCCCTCCCATCAAGAAAGCCCCCAGCCCTCCAGCGTCTGCAAGCCTGCGTCCTCCCATTACCATCACGACCTCCCTCCTCCTCCCTCCCTCCCCTCCATTCCCCTCTCTGCCCTCCCCTCCCCTCCCTCTCCGTCTCCTTCCTCTTCCTCTCAACGCCAGCCATCTCTCTGCTGTCCTACTTTGATGATCCTCCAGGACCATATCTCGTCCTCACGCTCGTGTGCAGCCCCGACCCTCCATCTCGCCGCTCGTAGTCCTGCGGCCAGTCAGAGGGGCAGGAGGAGGAGGAGGAGGAGGAGGAGGAGGAGGAGGAGGAGGAGGAGGAGGAGACGAATTGACTCACATCCCACGCGTGAGGCTGAGCCTCGGCCCACGGCTGCAGCAACGGTGAGGAGAAAGAAACATGATGGGGGAGGAGGAGAGATAAAAGGGCAGACGAGACAGCGAGGGCGGGCTGGGGCGCAAGAGACTGCAGGGGAGGACGAGGGAAGAGAGGAGGAGAAGAAAGTAAGGAGGAGGAGAGGAGAGGAGAGGAGAGGAGAGGAGAGAGGTGGAGAGGAGAGGAGAGAGGAGGAGAGGAGAGGAGGAGAGGAGAGAGGAGGAGAGGAGAGAGGAGGAGAGGAGGAGGAGGAGAGTAGAGGAGACAGAGTGGGGGGGGGGACGGGG